CCGGACCAATGTGATTTAACTTAACATACCAAAACAAAAAACCCTGCAAAAGCCTCGTACAAATTCATTTGGGGATTAAAAATGTCTGTCACTACTAAATTATAAATGGTTGTCATCTTTGAACTTAAAAAAAAGTTAAGTAGAGTTTAAAAATAAAAATTTAAGCAATGAAATGAATATAATCTAAAAGTTTTGAAAAACATAATGTATAAACCTGGAAATCGACAGATTTGCTCATAGAAGAAAACATCCTCTCACTGTACACTTCTGCGTTCCACCATGGCTGCTGTTGGTTCTCCATTATTAATGGCAAGTGAGAAAAGAAGCACTTACTGACTTACTACCACCCACACTTGTCTGCTGAACATTTGAACACATTAGAGAGAACGAGTGTGCGTGTGTGTGTGTGTACAAAGGTAGCACAATGAACACTACAATTAGGGTAGAATTTCCCATTCTGAAAACAAATATGACCCGTAGTCGTGCTGTGAATCAATACAGGCGTGATTCAGTGAAGCAAAGGGTGCCTCCCTTTCACTACACACAGATATTCACAAACACAAATGAAAACCTCTCGCAGGTCTCAAAGGTAACATCCAACAAGACTAGGTCCAAATGAGAGTGCTGACATTGCCTTCCTTTGTTTCTTTTTACTTTCTTATTATCATTATGCAAGTAAAACATCATCTTTTTAAATCACCTCCATTCTCCATTGATGGTTTCTCTCCAAGCTGGCCAAATAGGCTGTGTTTTCTGAAAGGGACTTCCATTGATTTAAGGTGCTGATGCTGCTTTTCTCTATGAGAAAAGATCAATACAGGCTCCAGCGGGACTTTGCACCATAGCTTCACATTGCAGTCCTCAGACCAAGAAGATGGAGTGTGTCCCTGTGAAAGAGTGAGTGAGTGAGTGAGTGAGTGAGAGTTAAAAAAAAAAAAAGTAATGTTTTTGTTTTACTGTCATGAGCCTGGATTGTGGGATGAGACATTGCATGTAGTAGATATTTAGATTTGATCAAATTTAAATAAATCCTAGAAATAATCGTCCAGTTAAATAGTTTTTGTGATTACGTTTCTTACCATGCAGGATATAGGAGTACATTATATTAGGTGACTCTTGCAATTGCATTATATTGAAATATCTTTGTTTTAATTGCGATGCAGAATCTGTCAAAAGTTGAGTTTGAGCCTTTTAGAATTAAAAATTGGGAGGCGTTTGTGAAGCTGCGATAAACTGTGTGAGCAAATCAGTCAGTAATTTAACCCCATAACAGACTAGTGTATTATATTTGATACATACAGTTTTTGAGACTTCAACATTTCAGTGTGATTTTTTTTTCCCTAAAAAATACAAATATATTGGATAATACACTTTTAAGAAGTAATTCTTTGCCAGGTGTAGCTATCATATTTGCTAAACTTTGTTTGTTTGTTTTTTGCAAATTATTGCAAATTTCATCTTTTTATAAATGTCAGGAGGTTTAATAAATTCTCCATTTATTGGCAATTATTTAACGGTTCAAGTTTGAAGGGGTAAGAAGAATATTTGTCAATGTAAAATTCTGACAAATGTACATTTTTCATCACATGGTCCCAAGGTCCTCCTTAAAAGCAGACGTGAGCTTTTCTCAGAAAGATCTCAAAAAACTACCATCAGTGCATTTCATCTTTGCATCTACAACTAAGAAAAACATAATTTTCATAATTACCAGAGCTGTTAACTTAGAGCAGCTGTTTTGGCCTAATAAATTTGTTAAGCGCTGTGTATTTAATTTATTTCTCCTTTTTTTCCTGCATCTTTAATAATCCAAAACATTCATATTTCACCCATGCCTAGTACCACTTCCTCATCTTCTTAATATTGAGTTCATTATGTACTGGGCAGCTGAAATCCTTTATCATGCAAGAATGTGAAGACATTCTGCTTTGAAAGTATATCATGAGCTCGGTTGTTGTTATTATTTCCCAAACATCAGGCATTATTAAAAGAAGAGATGAATGCCATATTTAAAAGTAGTTTTCCACTCTATCCTAAGGTTGCACTGTCCCAAACCCACGTGCACTAGTGCACAGTAGTATCTTACTACCAGACAGCCTAGAGGCAGAGCATCTCACGGGAGTGAGACAATGGAGTAACAAGTTAGTAATCAGGGGAAATACTCTGTAATTCAATCTGAATTTAAGGCAGTTCCCACCTAACCCCCAACACTCTATTTCTTCAGTATTCAGTGACTGAATGAAGCAAGAAAACAGAGACACCATAGCATGATTTCAAACTAAATTGTGAGGGTAATGTGAAATTAAGAATAGTGGATTACTTCCTGAAATTCTCTTATGAAGCATGAAGTTCTCAATCGCTGCTAAACTCAGGTGTAGGCAGGTTTCATTGCTGCAGTCACACATGGACTGAGTCATGATCCTTCTTCTACCTGCAAATCACCTCTTACTTTTAATTCTGATGAAAATGCTTTTAATTTCAGTCAGTGTTAATTATATTTGTTTTATTAACACTTTCATACACACAATGCCGTTTATATTTAAAGCATTTGAACTTTCATATGTAAAATGGGGAAAAATCTTTTGAGGAATACGATAGTGTAGTTAAACTGTCAAACTGATGAATTTCTTTGTTTTGTTTTTGTTTTTTAACTTTTCATATTTTTATATCTGTAGCTCCAACCTGTGTAGAGCTTATACGTATTTTAGTCTTCGGACAGTAGGGCAGCACTTTCTTTCTTCTAATACCAGATAAGTTTTGGTGAGAGTTCCAATTTCTGTTTTATCACCTCTGCTTTGAAAAGACTCATCCTGGACACCTGCTGAAGTATTTAAACGCCATCTGCATTCAGGTTGATCAGGTTGTTTAGTTGCTCTAGTGCTCAAGTGAAACTTGTTAAGTTATAGAGCAAATACTTGGAGTGATATATGTAAACTATAGGCAAAACACACACATGATGAAATTTTGTTTTATGACTAAATAAATGAAAAACAGCAACATAAGATTTTTTATTTGATGTGTGCATGTACATGCTGCAATACCGTGAAGAGCAGTGTTCCTTTGTGTGGATTCCCTTTCACAAAATAAAAACATACACTGTTAAAAAAAACCCTGCCAATCCAATGAAAAGCCTGAGACATCAGTAACGGAAGATTTGATCTTTGGGGTGACTCACATAAAAGCAATGCAGAAGGCTGAGAATTCCCATCCATCACACCTTTCACACATACGCATGAATCACTCTGTCTCCGTATCTGCAGTGTACAAGCAAAGCAATATACGTTCAGCATTAAAATGATATACAACCCCTTCATACTGCCGCACTCACCGACTCCATCCAATTGGCTCTGCAAGTCACATTCTTCCATCAGTCCCAATCTGCCGGCATGAGATTTGCCCGTTTACAGTTGAAATAAATTACTCTCTGCATTTCACAAGTCAACATTACTGTGCTGCATGTTTATCAATTTCTTTTTAAAATAAGTATTGATTAACTATATGATAAATATTTTAAAGTGTAACTCTTGAAGAGCTGCTTCAGTATTTTCCTCCGGCCAGGAACTTCATCATTTGTCCAGTAAAGCCACGATCCCTTCTCTGCACATGTCAAAACCATCACAGCTTTGCCTCTAACATTGTTTCCAAAGCACTGTGAGATGTCACTCTGACATAATCATTTCTAACCCTGTCCATCATGGTCTCTTTGTCAGTGCCACAGCAGGTCTCACTACCATCTTGTAAACTTTCCCTTTGACTTTGATACTCTTTACATTTTCATCTTTCCACCTGCCACTCTCTCATTCACACACACGTATTCTGTTTGCTACTACTGACTTTCATTCCTTTTCTCTCCAGAGCATACCTCCACCTGTCCAGGCTCCACAGAGTCCACAGAGACCCCTGCCTGCTTTCCTTTGGCTTTGCCACCTCTCTTTTTTATATTATTAGCCTCCAGTACTCTGTGCACTTCATTCATCTTCCTGACTATCCCACTGTTTCTTCACTAACCTTTGAGTGTTTTCTTGCACTTCCTCTTTCCACCACCAAGTCTCTTTGTCCTGTGTCGTCTGCCCAGAAGATACCCCAAACACCAGTAACTTTTCCCCACCACCCAGAGCTTGTCTCAACTCACTTCTACTTGTTCTTGGTGTCCAAAGTCATTCTACAGACTACCATCTGATGCTGCCTAACTACATTGTCCCCATGAAAACTTTTGAGGGTTAGACTTTTCAAAGAGCCACAGGTTAGAGTGTGAATAATTATTGGTACACCTCAGCGCTTCAGTGTATATGCTGAAAGAAAAACCAGCTCTGGAGAACATTCGAGTGTTTTATGTTTTCAGTGTAAAATATGTACTAATCTGGACATTTTTCAAGAACTTTTCACATTTGTTTCACCCATAAATGGGAAAAGCATTGCACTTTAGTACATAAGCTCAGTGAGCAATGGTGTATATGTATCTTGAATTTCACACCTTACACTCAATGTGTGTGAAGACTTGTGTATGTTTGTGAGTTAATAAAGTTTTTTTTAATCACCTATTTCTTTTTTTAAATGTTAAATCACATTACACCAGATCAGCAAAATCCATCGATGAGCCTGACTGATCCAGGATGATTAGTTCAGTAGTTTCAGGGTGTTCAAAATTGATAATAATCAAACAATTTGGAGTTCTTCAGGTGCAGGTGCAATAACTCAGGTTTTGGAGCAGTCACAAAGTCTTCGTGCTGCTTGGTCTTATTAGTTTTTCCTACACAAACTGGAAAAATAAAGAAATTAGAGGAAGAACTGGATTAATTACAAATAATACTTTATAGGGTTCCTGCTACATCACTGTTTGCATCTCTAGCTTTATCCAAGAACTCATAAATATGTAGATGAAAATCTCCACCCTAAGTGTATCCTTGGTTTGGCTGGTTCGACAGATCTTCCTAAAAATGTTTGGTCTACTACCTAATATATTAAATTTGTTTAATAGTCTTGCTGCTTTTGTGTGTCCTCAGTCCAGAAACAGTCTCCAGGCGGGGGACATAGACGGGGCCAAGAGGCTGGGTAAACTGGCTCGTCTGCTCAGTATCGTCTCCATTGTCTTGGGCGTGGTCATGATCACAGTCTACGTCTCAGTTTCAGGTACATTCATTGAATCAAGCAGGACAAATTTTTGAGGACAGTGATGTTATCATGATGGTGTCCAGTGTGCTGCACCGAGATTTAGATTGAGGTTTAAAGTGTAGCTGTAGGAGGAACTATCTACTCAGAAGGGTAGTCCAAGAAACATCTGCCAAGGCAGCTCACTCTCTCGGCAGAGTGTTCCTGGTAACTCATTTTGTTTACTTTCTTCTTTTTAAACATACGTTAAGAAGTTTGTAGTGCAGTAAAAATGAGATAAGAGTAGCATGACAGATGTTTACATTGATTACATTATTGTCATTTTGACTTTTATATCAATCTTGAAGGAGAGGTCAGAGGTCAAACGCTAAAACTTTTAAATTCTTATAAGGCTTTTTGTCAATTTTCAACCAATAAATCATTAAGTTGACCTTGAAGATAAGGCCCCTCTACACTCAAAGTTTTATCGAAATCAGAATCCAAAATTTTTCAAGCGATCTTGTTTACAGACAGAAAGAATGACATGCTTCAGATGTGTTTCCTGCTTTCAACTTTGCCAACATCTGTGTGTGTGTTACATTTACTTTTGCTGCAATCATAAGTGTGTAACATACTTCTTCTCTTTCCCTTTTTTACAGTTTCCAAATGAACTCGCGAGAGATGATCTTTCAGCAAGTAAACAAATGAAAAACACCATTCAGAGATGCATGTATTAGAATCTGGTTAGCATTTGCTTGACAAAAATAATGAAAATCCTGATGTAAATCTGTCAGGTTAAAACAGAGGAGGAAGAAAATGCAGATTTGTTTGTGGTCAGAAGGAACCCCGTGTGTTTCCCAGTGTGGAACATGGACTTCTCTCAATGAAGACAATAATCTGTGTATGAGGAGAGAGCGACTTTCTCTGTATGAGATGGAGCTTCTTTCGAAAAATGGATTTGGGGTTTGGTCTCCAAACTTTGGACAGCTGCATATAATCCTCATATATTCCTCATCGAATCTTTTGCATTCAAAGCATATACAGTTACAAATATATTTGAAATGTGGATAGAAAAAAATTACATATATACATTGTATATGTACATTTTATATAATGTTTGTATGCCAAGCGGTGCTGGGTTTGCTAAGGCTGTCATAGTGGCTGCTTTGTCAGTACCTGGATGCTCAGTGGAAACTCAAAGGTTTGTGAAAGTGGGCAGGGGACATAATTGTTTTTATTTATTATAATTTTTCATTGAAAACAAAAAAAAAAACAAGACCAAGTGCATGCCTGAATGTAGATCACCGAACCTCTGCCTTCATTTTGACTGTTATTTCCATGTTTCTTACCTTTTCCAGGAGTCTGAGAGACTAGCAGGTTTGCACATGTGAGGCTGTTTTGTGTACATCTAATTATTTACCACAAACATGACTTAGTCTCAGCTACACCTTCAGGTGTTGTTTCTCCTCACCATATTCCCTTATAATTAATTTTACGTGTGTGCGTGCACGCGTGCGTGTGCATGTGTGTTTGCTGCCTTTCTACACCATTGGCATTGTTATACAATGACTGTTAAATGTCACTGATTATTTCACTGAATGTTTTTTCCAGCTTGTTGTATTGGTATAAAATGTATTTATATAGGAAAATATATATGCAATATGTACGCATGCTATGGGCCAAACAGGCTGACACAAACTTTTTTTTTTTTTTTAACAACGAGCGGGTCTATAAGTTTAACTTAGTAACAATGAAAAGCATTTAAACAAAAAACACAAGCATTCTGTAAAGTTCAAGCCTGACAAATTGTCTGTATTCATAATTTTATCGAAGAGATGCAGTTTATTGTTCTGCCTGTGGATACATATAACAAGTATGTTACAGTGACATGTACCAGGCTTGTGAGCAGAGATAAAATTCAGTAACACTATGTTGCATTATTCAGATCATTTGGATAGATTTTGGGGGCAATAATGTTATTTGGATGGCGGGGTTAATTTACATTTTGTATCATTTTCATTTTGATAAGTTACAGTGCTTGTTTTCACTTGCTCATACAGTTCAAACAAGTGAAACCTTATAGCTATATTATGCTGCTAAAGTGATACTACCAAGTCCTCATCATCATCAGTGAAAGGATGTACAACTGCTAACTGTCGAGTTAACAGACTTTCAAGTCCCCGTTCATACTCGTGGTTGTACAAAAAGTCACTTTAGCAAAACATCCGAAAGCAGCAAAATCCAAAGATGCCCTACTGTTTACGTAGTGCAGGCGACAGCCCTACTGTTTTTCTTACATCTACATTTTTCATCTGGAACAATTGGCGAACAGAAGCCAACTGTCAGTAAAACAGTTCAAACTTTTCCACTTCATTTCCGTGTATTAATGTGTTTCCTTTCCAGTATATTGTATGTGCCAGTTCACCTCTCTGTGGTGTACATTTTGCATGTCAGGAATAAACATTACCATGCATGGTCCAAGTTGTGCCTTCTCGTGGTAACTTCCAATTCACAAGGAATTGTGTTGACCACAGCCATGCTAGCAACTTTCTGAGTCTGTAGTCTATAGATAGCATGTTGTTTCAAATAAATGTAAATATTCCAATAATTATATCAATAAAAACACCAACATGTTGATCACAACGGCGATCGTGGCTCAAGAGTTGGCAGTTCGTCTTGTAATCGGAAGGTTGCCGGTTCGAGCCCCGGTTCGGACAGTCTCGGTCGTTGTGTCCTTGGGCAAGACACTTCACCCGTTGCCTACTGGAGGTGGTCAGAGGACCCGGTGGCACCAGTGTCCGTTAGCCTCGCCTCTGTCAGTGCACCCCAGGGCAGCTGTGGCTACAATGTAGCTTGCCATCACCAGTGTGTGAATGACTGAATGTAGTGTAAAGCACTTTGGGGTCCTTAGGGACTAAGTAAAGCGCTATACAAATACAGGCCATTTGTTACTTAGACCTTTATGGGTCAGACCCCAGTTTGCCTACATGGTGAGGACCACAGGAGGTGTCGAGCTCACACACGTTTTTGGAAGGAGTTGTGTTTCGGTCACACAAACACTACACACATGCATGTCATCACTGCAGTAGGGCAGCAAGACTTTGTATGCAGAGACTTCAGCAGATCCAACTTCCCAAACCCTTTCACAATCATCCTACTGTCTGTCAATGTGAACAGATTCACTATTGATGTATATATACACACACACACAGACACGTACAGTGTGAAACTGATGACAACTGAATGAAGATAAAAGAGCTCAAGTTCAGATTTTCCTTGTCTGCCTGCGTTTGTTAAATAACTGCTTAAATAAGCAGTTATTTCGTTAACTCTGTTTTCCTGGGTCTTTTCATGTGTGCTATGAATAAATCTTCTTTTTTTCGGTACCGGTACTAGTTTTATTTTGTTGTATTCATCCGCGGCACCTTAAAGGCTGGTCCGTGAAAATATTGTCGGGCACAAACCGGTTCGTGGTGCAAAAAAGGTTGGGGTTGATCTAAAAAGGTTGATCTACACGCTTCTCACATCGCCTAGATTTAAAATCAATGTTACAACAATAAAAAGAAAAACATCGCAGAATCTCACAGAGTTGCGAAAGCATCATGAAGCACATGAATCAGAAAAAAAGTACAAATAGAACCAAAGTGTGAAATCCACAAGCTGCTTCAGAACACACAGTATGCGCCACAGATTGTACATAATTGTTGGCCAACACTGCTCAAGATGCTGCAGGTTAACCTGCAGTCCAAAACAAAGAAAAACCACCCATTCAGCACATAAAAGCCTCTGATCCTTCCTGCTTTCTCTCTCAGTGAGTGTAAATACACTGTCAACAAGCAAACACACACTCATTACCCCCTACAAAGACAAACACAGCCTATGTCTGGTACCGTTGTTATTATGGACGCTCACATGCTGAAACACTCAGACAACTATTCCTGTGTGTTTGTTTCTGTGTGTGTGTGTGTGTGTGTGTGTGTGTGTGTGTGTGTAGGTGTGTTGTTTGCAGTGCTTGTCTTTTCCTGCTGGTGGTGGAAGTGATTTGGAAAGAATGCAGTGGAAAGGGAGAGGCGTCGTGGCCATTAAACCAGCGGGATTGGGCCTCAAATGAAAGCGCGAGTGCTAACGAGGGCGGATGCTAATTGAGCTCTCCTCTTGCTGGAGTCTCTCACACACACAAACACAAAACACACACACACACACACACACACACACACACACACACACACCTCACACACACACAGCATTCCTTTCTACAGAATTCACAATATACACACATAAACTGCATAACCGTACACTGTTTTCTCTTTCTTTCTTTTTTTTGCAAAGAACTCATACTGGGATAGCAGAGTGTAAACGGTTCCCTTTCAGTCGATTCACTCGGTACAACACATAAGTATGGGATATCACGCCCTCGCGTGTCCTGGCTGAAGAAACCTTTATTCACGCCTTTAAGGCAGATGACGTGTGATGACACGCGCACGGCCCCGCCTGCACATATAGCCGCTGTCATCACAGTCATCCCTCAGTTCTTACGCTCTTCACCTCGCTGAGAACACCTCTGCTGAGTTGGGCTAGCTAGCTGCTGCTAGTTAGCTCCGTTGTCTGCTGACTTGAACTTAGCTTAACTGCCCTTGTTTGTGCATTGCCATGGTTACCAGTAAGTTGGCATGCGTTTACATGCATTGCCATGGTTACCGATCCGTTGGCATGCGTTTACATGCGTCGCCATGGTCATCGGCCTGTTTACATGCGTCGCCATGGTTACCGATCCGTTTACATGCATCGCCATGGTTACCGGTCCGTTGCCATGGTTACCGGTCCATTGCCATGGTTAGGTGCCAATGCACCGGCCCGTTGCCATGGTTACGGCCGTTGCCGGTTGGCATGCGTTTACATGCTTACATGCGTTGCCATGGTTACCGGTCCATTGCCATGGTTACCGACGCGTTGCCATGGTTACCACGTTGCATCGTTTACATGCGTTGCCATGGTTACCGGCCCGTTGCCATGGTTACCGGCCCAATGGCATGGTTTACATGCGTTGCCATGGTTACCGGCCCATTGCCATGGTTACCGGCCCAATGGCATGGTTTACATGTGTTGCCGTGGTTACGGCCCGTTGCCGTGGTTACCAACGCATTGCCATGCGTTTACATGTGTAGCCATGGTTACCAGCCTGTTGCCATGATTACCGACGCGTTGCCATGGTTACCAACGTGTTGCCATCGTTACCGGCCCGTTGCCATGTTACCGGCCTGTTGCCATGGTTACCGGCCCAATGGCATGGTTTACATGCGTTGCCATGGTTACCGACGCATTGCCATGGTTACCGACGCATTGCCATGGTTACCAGCCCGTTGCCATTGTTACCGGTCCGTTGCCATGGTTGGCGGCCCATTGCCATGGTTACCGACACGTTGCCATGCGATTACATGCATCGCCATGGTTACCAGCCTGTTGCCATGGTTACCGGCCCGTTGCCATGGCTACCGGCCCGTTGCCGTGGTTACCGGTCCGTTGCCATGGATACCGGTCAGATTTTTAAATCTGCTCAGTGATTGTTTTAGAAGGGGCACTTTTATTATTGTATTCTGGCAAGAATTTGACGTTTACAGCCAAAACATATTCCATTTATCTACTAATTATCAATGCATTTTCTTTAAAAGCTTAATTTTAGTGGTGGCACTAGAGGTCAGTCAGTCAACAGCCAAATTCAGGCAGCCTGACTATGAAACTAAATTTTTTGAATCACCCAACTTTCTTGCATGTCTGTGACCATCTGTGTTTTTCTTATGACTGGCGTCTAAAGAAAGAAAGAAAAAAAAAAAAGGCTTTTCCCACAGAGAAGAAAAAAAATCCACTGTGGTACATTTGTGAATGTAATATTTGTGTATTGTTCAGTCTTCATTGAGACTGACAGAAGAAGATATTGATTCAACTCTGCACTGGTGCTGTTGTCTGCAGTCCTGTATTGGATTGCACAGCTGTTGTTGCTTTTATTGTATCTAAGCCCTGTACATAGGGCATACACACTTCGACTTCAGGAACACAAACACCATTTATCATGGTCACCACAGCTACAGACTGTAGAGTAGGAGAGAATTTGTGTGCGTGTGTGTGGGGGGGGGGGTAAACATTTTATGGCTCTCTTCAACCACACACGCTCACAAATAAAGGCCTGGCTTAGTTTCAAATGCTTAAACTGCTTTTTAAATATTCACTTTGTTCACAAAAAAAGACAAGATTTCTGTCTTTACACCTTAGCTCCTTCTAATAAGGAAATTTGCTAGCCAGAAGTTACTGTAGCAAGACTCTTCTGAGAGAATCTAGCACTTAGTTGAGTGGCTAAAACATTCAGGAGTTGCACCTCTGCAGTCCTCCAACAGCACGTACACACTTCTCAGCTATACTTAGACTTCAGCGCAGGATTTCCCCCTTAAAGGACGTAAGATATTAATGGGCAGGTGGCAATTTTTTCTGACTGCTGTAGTATGAAGAAAAGGCTATTCCTGTCATAACGCCCAATCAGGATACAGACCATATTTTATATATATATATAATATATATATATATATATATATATATATATATATATACTCCCAGTGTTTTCTTTGTGAGGAAGGCATCAAACAGAGGGGATGAGGACAAGAAACCAAAGGCTCTCTCATCACTCCACTGTTGTGGACATTTTTGTATTGGATTACAGTCAACTGACAGCCTGAAGCAGTGAGAGAAAAGCGCATTGATGTTTCTCACACAGCTGCTTTGCTTTCACATTCCAGCACCGGCACCAACAAACTAAGACTTTAATCGAATGAGTCGAAGCCTGTCTGCCGTCATTCCCTTCTCAGCTGAAGGATTCAGCTCCTCTAATGCCTCTTTGAGTTCCAAGTGGATTCAAACCAGACGCAGTCAGTCAGGCTCAGGTCTGCCAGGTACACTGTGAAATGTGCAAAACGTTTAACTCCACCAGAGGCTGGTCATCAAGCCCTGCTTTCATTTTTCTGCTATGGAAACCTTGAAGCAGTGCACTATAAAAAGGTTTGTGACTGAATATATTTCACCAGTTTTTTTCTTCTTAAAAGATACTTTATTTTGCATGGCTTTGAAAACAGCCAATCAGGCAAGCATGTGGATCAACTGTCCCAAAAGAGAAAAGCTACCATTTATTTAATGCTTTCTTATATTCAATGATTTAGGACTGAACTTAGACGATCAAGCAAGTTACAAAAACTTTAACACAAGTTTAAAAGATTACAGTAAGAAGTAACTGAAATGTATATATTAATGTGGATGTGTGCAAGTAATGATTGTTTTCATTCTATGCCATGACTGCCTCATACTAAAAATGCCTTATTTTAACAAGTAATGGCTCCTGATTAACCTGTGAGTTAATTTATTGACAGTGCTGTCCAAAAGTCTTGAGCCACCCCTCATTTCTTTATATTTTGCTTCCACTGAGCCAGTCTTTCTTGACTTTATTAACGCGTTCTTGCGCAATAGTGCTTTTGTCTTCCTGAAGGTCTTTCAAAGGTTTTATTTGGATATTGGCTTCTTCTTCACTAATTTTCTGTCCGTCTACTGTTCACTGAAGTCTCATCAGAAATGGTCTCAGTGCAAGGTAGAGAAACAGGGAGGAAAGGCAACATTACACAGGTTTTTATTCAAATCATCGTGTTTTGGGGCTGTATTTGCAAAAGTATCATCAGACTGATCCACCATGCAGTTCCATCAGCCTTTTTAGCATGACATTGATCCCAAACACTCTGCCAAAGAACAAAAGGCATCGAATATCCAAAGAAGAGTTTTGAACGTCTATCAAGAAATCTGGAGAACTTTTGCTGAAGACAAAAGAAATTACAAGAAAGCTGGTCCCACGAAATATTGACTTTCAAGCTTATTAGAACTGTACAAACTCCTTTTTTTTGCCTTATGAACTGTATGTTAACGCAGGCTTATAAATGTTTCAAAAAAACTGCTGCACATATTTCCCATTTTCAAACAAAAACGAAGAAATGTGGGGTGGCTTAACACTTTTGCTCAGAACGTCTGAATGTAAAAATGTAAGATACAAACGATGGCTCTGCCTTTGAACCTCAATATCACTTTCTTGAATCTCTCTCCCACCTGTCATTAACTTTATAAATCCACTTTCCACGAGTAAAACACATAAAATGTAACAGATTATTATTAATTATTATTAATTGTTGTTATTATTATTATTATTATTATTATTATTATTGGAGCCTTGTGGTGGCATTACATTTATGCAGAAATGTTGATGAAGTTTCAAATAATAGAGTTTCAAAAATGTTCTAAATGAGCATCTTCTAGTGTCACACACTTTGTTGTACATACTGATATGAATAATTTATTAATTCACATTGTACAGCCCACAATTAACTATCCATCCCACTCCACCAATTAAAAACAACCATTCAGCTTAAAATCCTTTACCTGTGAAAATAATAATAATAAATCCATCACACAATCTCAGTCTCTTTACACTTTCAGTGGTACAGAATTGCTCTCAAGGTGATCTATCAATATATATTTTTTATCTAGTCTTATTTGTAGTTTTGGTCTTCGTTCTCTTGTTGGCAGAAAACACCCAACCACCAACCCGCCATCTGTCCCCGCTGCTAAATACAGGTTCAGTAGAAAATGTTGGCCAAAATTTGCTCCTGTCCCAAAACTGGACCAACTTAATGTCCTTCTGCTCGGGAACCTCCAGGGTCCTCCAATCACTCAGCTCAGCCCCCAGAGAGTTTCCATGCTACAAAGAGCAGATGAATCCTGCCTCTTTAAAGACTGAGTTTCAGTGGAAGGCATAGAGCAGGAGGAGAATGGTGCAAACGCCAATCACCGCGCCAAGGATCAGAGAGTCCCTTCTCTTTCGCAGGTTGATTCGCTGAATGAGGTTGTTGATAGCTGGGAAACGGTCTGAAAGAGTGTAAATTAAGGAAAAATACACAAATATGGGATATAGTAACCTCAGTAACACTATTACTGGCTACATTTCTATAAATCCTAATAAGAAAGACCATTTTCTATCAAATATGTGAGCGCTAATTTTTGAAAGTCCTATACTGATTTCAGTCTAGAAATCCTTTAAAGATAACTTTAAAGGAGGCCATTTGGTTCCCCGCATACAACACTGCACATGTGCAACATAAAGGATACTGGCCAGAGTATTGACCTTGCTCTGTATGGATTTCAGCATGCCCCTTTGGAAGGTTACGTTCTCCTTGGTCGCCATAGCAATGCTGAAGAAAAAGAAAGATGTAGCAAAACAGATGAGTAGAGAAAAGTGACAATCCTTCATGTCTTTGCTCTTTATTAGTAATGGAAAAGTACCTCTGACTGTAGGCGAGTTAGAAAATGTAATTTTTATCTTTTCTTTTTTACTTTGGTTGTCTCCACCAAACATCGTGGTGCTGTAAATCCCCTGTGTCATTCAGTACTGTTTCTAAACCTTTTTTTTGTAAACCAAAACTACAGAAAAGGATTTAAAGGGTAAAACCTAAAATTGTGATCATTCCTGCTCATTCAAACACTATTCCTCCCTCCTACATGCAGTATCTTTATGAGATGGTTAGGCACCTATAAGGGCAGTACAGATGTGCTGTGGTATTGTGCTTCTTGTTCTAAAACTTGGGCCTCAGGAATCTTCAGAGCAGCAAAGTGCAGCTGAGCAGTTGGCAGGAAAAGTTTCAGGCTCTATGTTACACAAAATAATCAATACAAGCTTCAGAGCCCACCTTCAAGCACTTTGTTCAACTTTTAGTTGTAAGAACTAATCCCTAATAATCATTTATTTCTCTTACAGTAACCTCTCCACAGCTGTACCAAAAAAGATCCACAAACAGGTTCTATAAACAATAACTAATGGCTAGATGCCAGCAGCAGTGGCTGCGAGTGGTACTGGTTTGCTTATGCAAGGAGAGAAGTTACTTTAAAAAGACATGACATGCTGAGAAGCATCATTTAATCGGTTTAAAGATGATGTGACATCAGCCAATTATAAAAGCTTTTAGACCCGTTTAACGCCCCTTATATACGACACAATGAATAATATACTATTTGAACATATGTCATATTATAGAAAGGAAAATTTTTGATTCGAGCAAAAAATGTTCAATTATTCTAAATTTTCACTACATGTAGGATTATGCTAGTATTCAGACTGGTGACAAACAGAACTAGTCATAGGGGACCAATTCCTCCCATCTCAGAGTAAAAGATCCCCAGAGGATGCCGGTGAAAACAAAGTAAATGAAATCACCAGTTGTTTACTCTTTTGGCTGGTAAACATGATGAGCTGTGTGTGTGTGTGTGTGTGTGTGTGTGTGTGTGTGTGTGTGTGTGTGTGTGTGTGTGTGTGTGTGTGTGTGTGTGTGTGTGTGTTTCGACTGAGCACTGAGAGACTATGACCACTGTGTTCGTCTGAACGTGTTGTGCGTGTGATGTGTGAGCACAGGTGGGTGGGGTCTTAGCATCTCCTGTGGTTTGGAGGTTGCTGAGGGGACAATCTGCAGTCTTGGCCTGGAGCTGTGTTTTGGGGATCAGGTTCTCCTCAGTCAGGAAGAATCACTTTGCTGACACCAGCAACCTCAACTAGTCAGTATTAACCGGCTCATGAGAATCAGAGCTGGAGGACAGAAGTGCACTCTGATCAGTCAGTTTTTGTTTTTGGTGACCTAAACGAGGAATGTTAAACTGTCCAGCAAACTGTTGAATAAAACCCCAGATCACAAATTATGATAGTGCCTCTTAATGCAATATGTGCAGCAAACAGTGCCTCTTCTCCTTGGACTGAGGTCATTAAGATTAAACTAACTACATCTACAAAACTTTTTAAAAGGATAGCCTGTAAACTACAGTTCATTATATTTAAGAAGATAACGTGTTATCTGTCACACCTGAGAGAACTGTAATTTTTAAACCCATTTTTTAACTATAGCCAGAAACCAGAACAATACTCATCTTAAGAGACTTTAAATTATATTGAAAAGAGCCAGCCACATTATAAAGGGGAAAATCAATGCAAAGCAACAATGCTCTGTGAGCACATACTTAGCAACAACAAACAAGAAGAAATCTTTGTAAGAACCAGACACAGATGAATAAGGGAAAGAAGGGCTTACCTTATTGTGTCATCCATCAGTCGATCTGAGCTATAGACAGTGAGAAGGAGAGAAAAACGCAGGGGAAGGGCACTGGTTAGATATTGATACAAGCACTGCAGAATAAACAAGGAATCTGCATGCTTGATTTGGCAGAATTTGTATACTTCCTGACACAAAACCAAAGGCCATGCTACAGTATGGTTTGGTCTGGTCAAGCTGTTGGAAGACTGATATACTTTTTCACTTTTTAAAAAAAAAAAAAAAAAAAAAAGAAAGAGCTGTGGTAGATTCTGTTAAATTAAAAAACACAACAAAACTTGCACAGTTTTGAGTGTCTTTTAAGATCTCCTCCTGTACAATCTGTGAGTCTCTCAGCTTCTGTACTGATTTATCATTAAAATGGGAGCAAACGCCAGCAAATTGTACACTCGTGCGCCAACTGCAACGGGTCCGTTGATGTTTGCAAGGGCGACAACACCATTATATTTGGCCCATATAGCAGTGACTGAGTTGCACCAAAAAGGCATTAGTCTTTTTTTTTCTCTTTTTTATTTGTTTTGTTCATTTTCCCCTCATGGATAAATCAACTCAGATGCCCGGAGGTTAACGTTCTGCATCACTGCATAAAAGAGGGGAAAGTGGAAGGCACTGCTACACTCCTAATCCCACACAAACCTCTTATGCTGTAACACTTGTTTTGTGTCTCAGGTTGCTCATAAGCAAAAAAGCTTTCAGCGGTTTATCTTCTAATTGGAATCAATTTGGATAATGTTCCAGAGAACTAAAGTCAACCAAACAAACAAAACTGCAGGGATTGTATTTCATAGTTCAACAGTCATTCATCTTCCATTCAGCAGCTCCACATCCTCCACCTGCATGCTCAATGTGTGGTTTCCGTTAAGCTCTTAACAATGTTGAGATGAAGTAAGAGAAGGCGCTAAAAGATTTATACCTCACTTGCAAGATGCGAGATCTTCCTGATTGCATCACAGTTTTTGTGATTCTGTCATTCTCTCTCTTGATGGGCAAACATGAGAGGAAACCACCAAGAGCTGGAAAATGTGGCAAAAACTGTAGTTCCTCTAGGTTACTAGCAATTAGGGCAACTAAAGACTATTTTGGTAGCTGACTAATCTGCCAATTTTTCTTTGACTAGTGGATAGTCAGTTATCTTATAACTTTTATTTATGCTCCCTGTGGGCAAACCTCCCGTTCAAGTCTGCCCACCTGTGAATATCACTCTGTTGTCTTGTACCACAGCAAATCAAAATAATGACCTACGAAACATATCAGTTTACTCAGAATAAAAAGGAAAATGCACAGTTTGTGTTTGTGTGTGTGTGCACGCATGCATCTGCATCATAAACTTTTAGAGCGCTTTTATTTGAATAATATTATGGTTTGCTGCGAGGTCAAGTCAGTCTCAGATATCTGTGCTTCAGTTTTGATAAACTACTACTGGGTACCAATTAGCAGTCCATTTCTTCATCTGTAACTTGATAGAACTATTTTCTGCTCCAGCTGACTTTTATTTTGCTTTGCAGTGAGTGTTTACAGGAAAGGTGGTAAAGAAAGCCAAGCCCAGACATAACAAGGGACCTTTTTTTCACTAGAGCTCCCTACTATCTGTGGTATTGAAAGGTAATATGTCTTATTTAACTTTTTGTCTTCTAGACAGCGAGTGGGCAGGACCAATTGGACTATAATGCATATTCACAATGTGGGCTGTGCATCCTTCTGTTCTTGGATCACAGCTGCCCACACTGGCACCAACCTGCTTTTTTTGGCAGTAGTTTGTAAGATCGTAACTGCATTTGTCTGACTGAATGAAATCAGTTACAGGAGGTGAAATGATAACTGGCATCTAACTTCATTATGAGTTAGATGCCAGTTACCTTTTCACTTAATAAATGTATTGTGGGAGCTGGTGGGTGGACTGAAGAAGACTGCAATTAGGCAATTATGCAGTAGGAATAAGACTTTATAGCATTAGAAAAAGACCAGAAATTATTTTTATTATATATATATTTATTGTCAGATTATTATATATATATATATATATATATATATATATATATATATATAATAATATATATATATATATATATATATATATATATATATATATATATATATATATATTGTATGTAAAAAACTATATATAAAAACTTGAAATAAGTATTTGGTTAATAAAATATTAAATTAATTGGTGCGAACAAACACTGTATGTCTGAAAGAGGCCAAAAAAGAAGAAGAAGAACTTAAGAATGCAATATGGACAGAGACTGCTTAAAAGATGGAAGGAGGTGCGACAAAAAAACGAAGCCTTTAACTGTCCTTCACCTGACAGTGTTCTGCTGATAAATAATGAGCTGAAGAGGAAAAAGAGAAAGCTCGGGATCCGCCTTGATTTATGGAGTTTTTATGTGCAGAGATGAGATGTGGCAAAAGATTTATGCTTTATATCCTCCATAATCATTTTGCAGCTATAGTGGTGAGCTTGATTGTGCCATTTATGTATATTAGAATTTCTGTGGTTTCAGCTTTGAGTGGAGTTCTTTCTGTTTCCCTTGGTCAGTTGTTTTCCTGCCGTCATTAAGTCACTCATTAGCTTCCAGCTAATTGCCCTTTCCATTTTGATGAATCAACCCATACTGTCCATATGATCTGCTGCGATTCACAAACAAATGATCACACAGACAGAATGCTTATTGACAATTATGTACACTTTGGTTTCATCTGAACAGTATGTTAAAAAAAAAAAATACTACATGCATTGCAAAATCATGGCTACAAGGATTAAAACAGTACTGCCCAAAAGTCCTTTAAAGTTGTCTCAAGCCAATAGTCCTTTAGGCTTTCTGAATGTCTTTCATAGTTTCTGTTTGGCTGCTTTTTCACTCATCTTCAGTCAAATCCTTGTACCTCACCCTTTTCAGAGGAAGGGTTTTTTTTTGTCTTTTAAGCCACTCAACTGAAAAAAAGCACCTAACAAACCTAATATGAATCAGTATTGTGTATACACATAACAGTCGACTTAGCAAAGCACTTTGTTTCTAGCAGCTTGTTGCAAATACACATCATTTGTTCAGCTCAGTCTATGAAAAATGCCAAAGATAACAAAGTTTGATACACACAACATTGTATTTTGCATCAACACGATGATTCCCAAAGAGCTCTTAGCCAAAAACCTGGCCTATGTCAGCATGGTGTGCCTCCCCAGAGCCTGTACCACAACATAATTGATGCAGCATGGGATCGTCCTGACAGAGAAAAGAAGAAAACGCAGCCAATATCCAAAGAAGGGCTTTGAATGACCTCCAAAGTTTACATCAAAGTTTAGTTGAAGGGCCAACAGATAACATAAAGTGCACGCTCAGTCATCCTGGTAAGGAAATCCCAGAAAGTTCATTCTGTTCATCTGGATGTAGCGTTTCTGGTAGGAGAATCATTTGTCAATGAAGCTATGGTACACGTTTTGCTACTGAGAAGTCCCACTAAAACATTACAAACATTAAGTACTGAGAGGAAAATCAGAACATGCCAGTAAGCAGCTAAACACTTTCAACTCACTGAAATGAGTCTTCTCTCCCAAACCGTAAACAATCTTGATGTTTAAATTGCTTTCACAAGGAAATGGATATGAAATAGATCATAATGGACTGTTTTGTGTGAGCTAGTCAGTGAATATGGTTGATATGGATGATAGATTTAAAATAAGCTGTGGTATTATCCTCATATCATTACAAAAGTGTGAAAAAACATAAATTAACTGACACAAATTGGTCCACAAACACTCTTGTTGGGTAAATCTATAATTAAATCTCTAAACGTCCTGAACTAGTTCTGTGGTAAGTTGTAATGTGATAGAAAGAATACGAGAAAGCACTTCACCGTGTATCCATGATGCAAACTTAAAAATCGGCAACAAGCTAGACAGACTAAATGCAGGCATCTTGAAGACGACAGAGTGACAGAGAGACTTTGAACACCTGTTTAAAATGCTACAGTGGGGCAAAAAAGTATTTAGTCAGCCACCGATTGTGCAAGTTCCCCCACTTAAAATGATGACAGAGGTCAGTAATTTGCACCAGAGGTACACTTCAACTGTGAGAGACAGAATGTGAAAAAAAAAATCCATGAATCCACATGGTAGGATTTGTAAAGAATTTATTCGTAAATTAGGGTGGAAAATAAGTATTTGGTCACCTCAAACAAGGAAAATCTCTGGCTCTCACAGACCTGTAACGTCTTCTGTAAGAAGCTTTTCTGTCCCCCACTCGTTACCTGTATGAATGGCACCTGTTTGAACTCATCATCTGTATAAAAGACACCTGTCCACAGCCTCAAACAGTCAGACTCCAAACTCCGCCATGGCCAAGACCAAAGAGCTTTCGAAGGACACCAGGAAAAGTATTGTAGACCTGCACCAGACTGGGAAGAGTGAATCTACAATAGGCAAGCAGCTTGGTGTGAAAAAATCAACTGTGGGAGCAATCATCAGAAAATGGAAGACATACAAGACCACTGATAATCTCCCTCGATCTGGGGCTCCACGCAAGATCTCATCCCGTGGGGTCAAAATGATCATGAGAACGGTGAGCAAAGATCCCAGAACCACACGGGGGGACCTGGTGAATGACCTGCAGAGAGCTGGGACCAAAGTAACAAAGGTCACCATCAGTAACACACTACAACGGCAGGGAATCAAATCCCGCAGTGCCAGACGTGTTCCGCTGCTGAAGCCAGTGCATGTCCAGGCCCGTCTGAAGTTTGCCAGAGAGCACATGGATGATACAGCAGAGGATTGGGAGAATGTCATGTGGTCAGATGAAACCAAAGTAGAACTTTTTGGTATAAACTCAACTCGTTGTGTTTGGAGGAAGAAGAATACTGAGTTGCATCCCAAGAACACCATACCTACTGTGAAGCATGGGGGTGGAAACATCATGCTATGGGGCTGTTTTTCTGCCAAGGGGACAGGACGACTGATCCGTGTTAAGGACAGAATGAATGGGGCCATGTATCGTGAGATTTTGAGCCAAAAC